CTAAATAGCAGAATGTATACGTAACTCACTAGACAGTTTCCTTAAAATTATATTTTTACAATCGCTAGAAACATAGTTTTATTTACAATATATACATTATTAAGTTACAAGTTTGATGCAGGCTAAATGCCTTTCATAAGTAGGTAATATTGCGCAGTAGTGAATCTAATTTTGGGGGCTTTACCTATTTAAGAGCCCGTATCTGTGGTCAGTACCTACAACTCTCGCTGCCACGTGATCTGACCATCACGGTTAATAAATAAGTGAACATGCAATTTGTACCTTGCATAAAAGTAAGTTGCCTAATGGAATTCCCCCTTAAGGATGGCTCTGTATGTACTCCAGCAGTTAGAACATCATAAGGCTGATAAATAACAGTGTTAAATTCCCCATTGCCGAAGCCTTAACTGTACAAATATATTTTTGTTGAAAGAGCTACTAAGACTATGTTTTTTCACTAAGAAAGTTAATGAGGCGCCGGCGCAGGTGTAGGCAGCAGCGGTAAGGGAGCGACACACGCAGCGCAGCCGTCTCTTTCTGTAACAAAATAAAATTCAATATTAATAAGTAAAATAAATTACTTATAATAAAGCATCGTCTGACAGCAGTAACCGCAGTCTTAAAGCATTCCGCGGGGCAAGTTTTTTATGGGCAGCTTAACGCACAGGGGCGAATTTACCATAAGGGCAAAAGAGGGCATGGCTCGGAGCAGCAGACTGTGGTTGTGTGTAAGAGCTGTGAAAAGCGGCAGATACCATACAAAGGCATTCGTTACTATATTTTGGTTTGATTCACTAATTCTCTGCTCCACTCTGGTGCAAATCGTAAATGGACTGGGACGATGAGTTGTCCTAGCTAAGACTACATCCATCTACGTCATAGTATGCACTTTAATAACCGTTATCTAATATCCTATGAAAGGTTCGGAAAATGAGTCGGACTATGATAAACCAGACGGCATACCAGGCGATACTCCCACAAACAAACACACACAAAACTCCTGAATCAGGGCCTTAGTTAGCCGGATATTATGGGACAAGGTCCTACCTCAAAATATCATTGCTCTACCTTAAAACGGCTGCGAAGAGCGGTACGTCCCCGCATATGTCCTAGGTGCCTGTAATTATCGCTGCCCTATCATAAATACGACTCTGGCTACAGCCCTATCCTGAATGGACGCTGAAAGTGCTGATGTTATTTATTTTCATTTTCGAAACATAAAGTTTTACACAATCCAATAAAGAAACACTTATTACTTTTCAATAAAAGTTTCCACAGACTGAAACATTTATACACTTACATAATTTACTTAAAATTACGTACAATATAGTTATGTGAATACAACAAAGATCACGATAATTAAAAAAATATGGTAAGATAATAATTACTGAGTGTTAGGGTAAAACGACCTTTTAGCATTAATTTCTAAATTGATTGTAAGAAAGGCAAAATATAACCAATCCCTTGAAGTATTTATTATAGCTGTGACATGCTCTTTAAATGAAACTATTTGCAGCAAACTTGGTCCTGCTGAATTGCATTACAAACGTGTTGTCAGACCTAGTTCTATTAGCACAACGGACACCGATCCTCTGCAAAAGGAACGGTGAATCTACAAGGTTATTATAAGTTTGTAAAGAAATAATTGATCTCTAACAGTTCTGCGATGTTGCAACGATGTAACCTGTAACTATCATGGCAGGACAGGCAGGATTGATGACTATATGTCTGTTATAATGGCACTCTGTTAAGATTGGCTAGGCACGCGAGGATCAGTTGGCCTAATATGTTGTCCGAAATTTGTGCTGGTCAAGGAGCCATACCTAAATTACACGTGGCCCGACACGAATTTGGCAGATTTTTTAAAATAATTTGCCACTTTCGATTCGCTTTTCTTTTTGTTCATCAGGATAAAATTTCATTCTTTTTTAAATATTCTTTTTAATGATATGAATGAATATGTTAAACATAATATGTATACGACCTTTTTGTAAATTTATTTCTTACGTTAATGTAAGTTTTTAGTTTTAGTGTGTGATATTCTGTTTTATTTTTAAAAGCTATATAGTACAGCTTTTTAAACAGTATATGACTATGACGAAACATTTGCCCCCTCTAAGTCAGAACTTGCGAGTTTGACTTTGAGCTAAGCACCCCTCACTTAGTTTAAATAATCCCGATATAATTGCGGCACGGGCCCTTACCTACGGATGGCCAATTAGCCACAAATTTGCATCAAATTTAATGAACTGATGCGAATAATGTGAGGTGAAGATTAACAAACATGGATGAAAAATAGTTTCTTTAATCTTTAAAATTATCTTTTCACTTATGTTTACGTTTTTATAATAAACTAGCGGCCCGCCCTCGCTTCGCTTCGGTGTAGAGCTGAAGTGTAGACTACAGTTTTTGTTCTCAGGCTTGTATTACACTATTATACACAATGACATTCATCTATGATTTTTCTTATACCGCATGCAAAATCTCAGCCCAATCGGTTTAAGATTGACAAAGTTTCATACAAACTTTCATTCCCTATTTTATCCCCTTGGGGGTAGAATTGATCAAAATCCTTTCTTAGCGGATGCCTACGTCATAACATCTACCTGCATGCCAAATTTCAGTCCGATCCGTCCAGTGGTTTGGGCTGTGCGTTGATAGATCACTATGTCAGTCAGTCAGTCAGTCACCTTTGAGTTTTATATATAAAGATATACGATTCATTTCGTAATCACATACTTCCTTATGAACCACCGCACCGTACAACAGTGCTATTTTGCTATTTAACTCACATTTCGTCCGAAACCTGCGATGTGATTTAAAATGAGAACACGAATCACAGTAATATTATAAAGGCGAAAGTTTGTGTGTGTGCGAGTGTGTACGTTTGTTACTTCTTCACGTCTAAACGGCTGGAGCGATTTTAATAAAATTTGGTATGGAGTTAGCGGACACCCTGGATTAACACATAGGCTGCGTTTTACTACGGAAAAATATCCCTAATAAACCGCGGGAAATACCGCCAGGCACAGCTAGTTTCAAATAAACTTCAAATCACACCGGCGGATTCCGCGGCGAAAAGTAGGATTTAACAATTCAAATACACGTTGGCGACGACGCTATGGAAAAAGCTCAGAAAAATTCAATTTACTTATATTTATGGAAACTTTTCAGTTCTTAACTTTATTAAAATCTTTGGTTTAGGTACCTTTATTTTTAATTTTAAAATACACAGAAAATTGTATCTGGCTTTAAATACCTACTGTACGCGCTTTTCGTTTTGTAGAAGCTATGAAAAATCCACAGGACACACTTATAGACTGACGGACAGCGGAGGTGTAGTAGAGGTAGTCACCATATTGGTTTATCGTTATGAGAAGATATTACTGAACGAATTTTGGTATGGTTAAAGATTAAGTTAGCGTCTTGTTTATAGAAATAGAATGATTTGTTATAAAGGCTCCTTGAGTCAAAAATAGATTACAAAGGCCTTCCGCTAATTTGCAACCGGACTCGATGACGCGGAGATGCTATAACCTGCCTGATGGTAATCGGCCACCATAGCGTATAGACACTAGCGATACCAAAAATACCACTCGCATCATTGCCTACCCTGACCCAAACCCCTAACCCTAGAGCCCATCTCTCACCTTCATTCCCTCATTATCGTTGAGGAGCATGATTATAGGATATTGCAGTCTCCAGGGTTTTCCACCATCATTCTCTTGACTAAGCGGGTGATTAGTGCGTTCGGTCTGCGTTCAGCGATGGATAGGTGGCCATAAAAATATTATCTCGAGCTTCGTAAAGTATAGCCGTTGGTAACGTCTGAAGATACAGTCGTTAGCACGCCCCAATCAGCACTGGGCCCACGTGGTGGATCATAGCCCATTCTGACTATGCCATCCATAGGGAAGGCCTGTGCTCCTATCAGTGAGGACATCGATAGGCTGGTGGTAATAATTGTTAAAATTACTATCAAAATAATATTCTTTCTTATATATACTAATAATGCCATCTGTTGTCAACTATTAGCATCTCTTGATAATTGTCTATTGTCTCTGTATTAAGAAAATAAAAGTTTAGTCTTTGAACAACCTCCCGGCGTGTTTTATTAGGTTATGGGCCCAGCACGCTTCCACTGCGGCCTCAAATACTTTAGATAGGAAATCTTATACAGGTTTTTACTTTAAGTTCTCAGGATCTGTTATCTCCTACGAATGTAAGAAACAACAGACTGTAGCCTTGTCCAGTACAGAGGCCGAATATATGGCGATAACAGAAGCTTGTAAAGAGGCTATATATTTGAGAAACTTGTTGAATGAGATTGTTGATTTTTGTAACTATACAATAACTTTGTTTAATGATAATCAGGGGGCTCAGAAGTTGACAGAGAATCCATTGTTCCATAAAAGAACCAAACACATTGATGTGCGTCATCATTTTGTTAGAGAAGCAGTCGCTAAAAAACATGTAAAGATAGTTTATCTGCCAACATCTGAAATGCCTGCAGACCTGCTGACAAAAGGCTTGAGTAGTGTCAAACATAACAATTTTGTTAAGAAGCTAGGTATGCATATTATTGTGTGATCTGGATATATATATATATATATATATATAAATAAACAAACTTTCAATTTCAATTTTCAGTTTTTCAATTATGCTTATTAGTACCTGTGCAAAAAAAAAACAATATTTTAAGTATGCACTGAATTGTTTGTGACTGTATTTTTTTTATTGTTACATAGGGTTTAGATTATTTTGATAAGTGGAGATGTTAAAATTACTATCAAAATAATATTCTTTCTTATATATACTAATAATGCCATCTGTTGTCAACTATTAGCATCTCTTGATAATTGTCTATTGTCTCTGTATTAAGAAAATAAAAGTTTAATCTTTGAACAACCTCCCGGCGTGTTTTATTAATAATGACGTATAGACTAAAGCCCACTTCGTTCGTGCAGGTAGTGTTAGGCGAGGCGTAGGTCGAGCAGCTGTCAGGGCTCCACGCGCTCAACCTTCGGCACCAGGGCGTTCCAGCAGGAGTCCTCGAGCAAAAGGCTCGGAGCGTGAGTGGCCCAGGTCTGTGCCCCAGCAGTGGGGACATTGATAGACTCCTGGTTATGATGATGAAGTAAAGTACAAGGCCCACCTCGTTCGTGCAGGTAGTGTAAGGCGGGGCGCAAATCGGGCAGCTGCCTGAGCTCTACGCGCTCAACCTTCGGCATCGGGGCGCTCCAGCAGTAATCCTTACGGCGAAGGGAAGGAGCGTAACTATGTAAGGACTGATTCCCAGCAGTGGGGACATTGATAGGCTGCTGGTTATGATGATGAAGTAAAGTACAAGGCCCACCTCGTTCGTGCAGGTAGTGTAAGGCGGGGCGCAGGTCGGGCAGCCGCCAGGGCTCCACGCGCTCCTCATCCCGCTCAACCTTCGGCACCAGGGCGCTCCAACAGGAGTCCTCAGGCCGAAGCGTCGCAGCGTGACTAGGCCAGGTGGACGTCTGAAATACGAACAACTAAGTATAGAGTGTGTTAATTACATAAATGTGTCTCATAAGAGAGTAAGGCATAGCGAATTTTACGCTCGTTTTTTGTTTTTTTTTTATTTTATTTATTTTTCACAACACACACCAATTAACCGTGCCCCAAAGTAAGCACTGTAAGGCTTGTGTTATGGGATACTAGGGTAATGGATAGAATACATATATTATAGATATATAAGTATGTTCATATAGAAATACATATTAAACATCCATGACTGGAATACAAATGCTCGTATTCATCACACAAACATCTGCCCTCAACAACGGAATTCGAACCTGGGACCTCTCGAGTCGGCGACACTATGAAACCCGGCGTACAAACCACTCGACCACGGAGGTCGTCATTGATTGAAGCGCCCTTCTGGAGAAGTAAACTCCACTTAAGAGAAGATCACGGTAAAATAACACTACCTTTTGGTGGTGCTGTGTGTCTGTCGGTGAGTAAGGTTCCAGGGCTCTACGAGGTAGGGGATGGGGAGAGACTAGGCAATGGTGCTAGTGATATTTTTGGTATCGCAAGCGTCAATAGGCTATGGTAGCCACTCACCATCAGCGGCCACACGCTTGTTTGCCATCCTTTTGAAATAAAAAAAAATGTATAAAAATGTAATGTATTTATACTGTGTGATACAGCAATCAAAATGCAGGTGAACAATTAATATATAATTTCACATTATGTAATGAAAGGTGACTTCATGAATCATCTCTGAAGTCATTTTTCAACTTTAAGACTTTGTAAATGATAAAACAGGGAGAAAAAAACAGCCCTTGCTGAGTTTCTTGCCGGTTCCTCTTAGTACAAGGTCTCCCGCCGTAGATTTACGAACCGATGGCGTAGCTTCTAGACATTCATATGTGCTTGTAACAGCCTAAACTGAATAAATGATTTTGATTATGATTATACTTTCGCAAAATTGGTAATTGGTGGTTAAAAAAAAACAAAGTTACGGACACGATTAGGTAAAAAAATATTATTACAAAAAATAAATCAAAACGGTTTTCAGGCTAGACTCGAAACAGTTTTTCTCGCAATTCGGAACAACAATCAAAAATGTGGAACATGCTAAAATTTAACGGAAAAAAAATTGTAGCGATATGATAAAACTTCGCTTTCACTTTAAAAATACTTTAAGGGTAAATCATATTTCTTAACGACTTCTACCCCCTTATTAATAAACAAGGAATAAGCTTAGACTAGTTCCGCCGTGTTTTGTTCTCATGGCACTCAAATGCCATTTGTCATGCAATAGACAGAGACAAAACCTGGAGTAACTAATCCAAGCCTAGTCTTCGTTTATTAATAAAGGTGTTAGAGAGTACAACTTCAATTTGTCACAACAGTAACAACAACAATGCGAAAAATCGAGCTTGGACTCTCTAAAATTCGTTAAGAAATAAGGTTTGCCCTTAAGTATTTTTAAAGTTAAAGTCAAGTCCGACAAAGCGGAAAAGTGCCCAATGTGCCTGTTATGTTACATGCAGTGTCTGTTAGTTGCGGAGCCTAGTTCGATTACCGTCACGAGACACGAACACCTGCGCGGTTATCAGATGTGTCACGCGCGCCGCAATCACTCAATATCATCAATTCGCTATCACTTTAACTAATACCGACCATAATAACTAATACGGCTCTCAACTTGTGTGTGTTTAAAGAGGTAATATAGGACATGGATTTTCGCAGCAGCTATCACTTTTTCGTATTCTGATTATAGTAAGGCATTTGTCCCACTCCCTATGATGAACTATAAGCGAGTAGAGCTAGAAAGAGTTGACGATCAGCGGGAAGCGAGTGGGCAATTTTGATAGTTTTGCCACTGGGCAAGTTTATCCGAGTGTATGAGTACGACGAGCGATTACTCGCGCCACTCATTAGCGGTAACAGTCCTGAGCAAAAATACACGCGCGCGTCGCTGAGCAAGTATCGCTGAGCGAGTATTATCTTTGATAGCTCCTGTCTATCTATGACAAACTAGTGGAGCGATTTCTTGCCGGTAGTACAGCCAGCGATCAACTATTAATATATGCATATATTTTGTTTACATGGAATGTATATTAATTGTATCGTTTCTTAAGCGAGAAAATAGCCGCGGTTACTATAAGTCGCGGCACGAAACTCTAGCGCTGACCGTTATTGCGCAGAAGTAAAAAATAAGATTATAGTAATATAAGTTATTTACGGGATTGTTACCATGTACCTTGTTTTTAGCGAGTTTCCGATATTTCGGCACTGTAAATAACTTATATTACTATAATGTTAGTGACCATGAAAGTTTAAAACAAAAAATAAGATGTCTTGGGGGGAAACGAGGTGCGCGGGTGGACGTGCGTTGCGCCGATTGGCTCTCCAGTCGCACCCGCTATTGAGCTATTCAGCGCTAATGTTACGTGCCGTGACCAGTATCGTATCGCGATACTTAGTCCCTTCCTTGCCGACGGTGGGCCAACTGCCGAAGAGAGTACTTAATTGGAGTGAGCAGTATCTTTTCAAGATACCAGCTATCTTCCCAAAGGGATACATACCACTTGCAATCTGTATTTGAAATGTGTATTTATTCCTACTGTTGGAACATACCCTTAAATAGGTACAAAGTATATTATAAATGCGAAAATGTCTAACTCTACCTATACATCTATATGTCTGTGCTTCCACTATTAGGTGTAAAGCGATTTATATACTTAATATTTCCGAAAAAAATAACAGCATTATTAAATAAAATAAGTTTCAATGGTATAGATGCACTGATTTATTTATTTATAAACGTTTAAAAAAGCTACCTTGGAAATACTTTTTTTAAGAAGGCAACTCGATAAAGTAAATAAAATCATAATTCAGCCGACGCACCCAGCAAAAGGATGCAAAACGTGGTGTACGTGAAAACCTAATAAACAAATATAACATTATTCTTTACTCTGGGTCTTATAAAGGCCTCAACCTCGGTCCTGCTACTTTTTACTGATGTTAATACCACTGTTTTACTTAATACCAATAATTGTAACCCCGAATCACTATATCTCTATACAACATTATTCCTAATATTTGTAGCCCGAATGCACGCTATCCCTAATAACTTTGGACCTATAACACTGTATACCTAATATTTCGATCCCGAATACACGCTATCCCTAATTACTTTGAGGCGAGCTAAACTGTACTTCCAGGGCCAAAGCAGTGATACTTCACACTAGATTAGGTTAGGTTAGTGTTGTCACCATAACGCGCGAGCCGAGTGAGCGAAGAGAGCGTGCCGCGGTAGCGGCTGGCGAAGCGCCAGAAAAATAATACCAATTCTAAAGTTATTAGGGATAGCGTGCATTCGGGATCGAAATATAAGTATACAAATTTATAGGTCTAAAGTTATTAGGGATAGCGTGCATTCGGACTACAAATATTAGAAATAATGTTCTTTAGATATATAGTGATTCGGGGTTTCAATTATTGGTATTAAGTATAACAGTCAGTAAATACTTTTTAATCTACTATCTAAAATTATTTCTGTTGACGAGGCTGTCATAACTTAATATTGATTGATCGCACCTCCGTTGCATTGCTTGTTCTGAAGCTATGAAAGAAAAAGAAAAATTTAAAGGTGGAGTTTTTTTTTAAATAAAACTAAGCAAAAAAGGTATTTCTACAAAACACAAAGTCTATGTTCCGTCGCTCATGAACTATTCAACGTCGGTTCCGAATAATTATCTACGTAACGCCGTAAAGCCAGTGTTGCAACGTTAAATAATAAATGTTTGGGCGCGATTAACGAACAATCACGACGGTCGCGTGCGAACTCGGCTTTACATGCGGACATTTTACTCGTAATTTCATTCGAGTTACAAGTACTTTAACGATAAAATCTATTTAATGGTTTGTAGTTATATTTCTGATTGGTGAATTTCTGATGGTTGTATGAGAAATGGCCAAATTGCATTACTACATCGAAGTTGTATAATAAATAGCAACCTGAAAAGCCCTTCGGAAAAATGCATTTCAGCAAATGAACTTTTACAAAAAATAATGAAAACATTTCATCTCCTTGTCGTATACAGGCTTACATCCGGGATAAACCAGAGTTTTTGTAGAGTTTTATACCGATATTTCCCAGAACATGCAGTCTTTTACCATTGATTTAGTGCTAAACGGAGAAGCTCAGAATTATTTAACAGTCCAAATTCGAAAAGAGAGAATTGTGTTACATACAGTACCCTTAGCACGAACCACTATCGAATTCGAATAGTTAGCGAGTCCGAAATGTCATTGTCAAATTTTGTATGAAAACTTGAACAGCAGCGCCATAACGTACGTAATGAGAACTAAAAATCAGTACACATTTGACAATGACATTTCGTATTCGCAAACGATACGAATTCGATATTGGTTCGTGCTAAGGGTACACTACAATGCTTCTAAAGAACGTATGATGACAAATGGTAGATGAGAAACGGTCATTACATTTTCGGTAAAGAATAGCAAAATTAATGTTCCGCGCACGATGCCACCAATAAAAACATCAAATGCCACTTCCCAAACGAGGTAAATAAAAAAGCTTGCAAATGCCACCTCGGCATTTAAGTCTAAATAAAGTTGGGCGGTTGGACTCTGTGAAGCACACATTTATTATTACTTACGAACGTTTAAATAAAAGGAGTTTTATTTAAACTTTCGTAAGCTAATAATAATATTGTTTTAAACTTTCATGGTCACTAACATTATAGAAATTTATGTTTTTTACGGGATTGTTACCATGTACCTTGTTTTTAGCGAGTTTGCTATATTTCGGCACTGTTGCAAGCGCCATGATCACGGACTAACTGCTTACTCACGTTACACGGAGTACCAGTGCCTAAATTTCTTGAACTCGCTAAAAATAAGATACATGGTAACAATCCTGTAAATAACATAAATGACTATAATAATAATAACTTTAATTACATCGCTTCATTTTTTTCGATCATATTTACAGGTC